TCGCCGATTTCTGTTCTCCAGATCTGTCGTGACGCGCGAAGCCAGCATTTCGTCTCAGAAACCCCACTTTAGTCTCTTGTGCCTACGATGGAAGATTGTCAGTCATGCCGTGCTCATATGAAGCTTTAAGCATTCCAGGGCCAACTTGATCGACTGCAGAAGCCTTGTCACTTTACAACCTTTTCGCAGCTTCTGTGATTTTTTTCATTGAAAGACTAATATTCGTTGTCTGCTGCTCTTCAGGCGAGTCTTCCTAGTTTGCTTCTGATTTAGGAGTTCCTTAATGTACTCTCTCCATCGCCAACGTATGTTCTCATCCTTGGTAAGAGAGCGTCAGGATCTGTCCTTAATGACTCTTACACTGCTTTTGTTTCCATCTCGGAATGGGCGGATGATCTACCAGAATACCGTGACACCGCGAACACTTCATCGAAACTTCCTCAGGAAACAGTTTTCCTTCTGCCCACTCTTTCGCTGTCGCCTTACTCGCTCTTTCTTACTGCATTCGCTCGTTACTTCTGAGCCATCTTTGTAGTACAGTGTCCTCTTCTGACCTCCATGCGGCGCACCAACCCGTTTGAATCCGTAGCATACGCCGCTCCTAAAGAGATTTCACTTGGTTTCCACATCACCGGTCATCCTTAGGATCTGTTCAAATTGTCGCGCGATGTTGTTCGCAGATTTCGCTCTCATGTCCACTGAAGATAATGTTTTACATTTGATTCTCCTGTTGCTTCAGCCACCAGATTTTCATGATACTCAATTTCTTACAGCTTAGCGTGCCAACAGCAAGATGATGATCGGTTGGTAGCTCTGACCCTCTCTTAACACGAACGTCCATTACTGAGCGTGTTAGGTCAGATGATACGATTATGAAATCGATCATCGTCTGCTGTGCACAAACTTTCCGGTACTCGGTGTACTGATGCACTCTTCGATGCTCGAAGAAAATGTTCATAATGGACAGACCGTTGTTTGCACAAAACCGCAACAACTTCATGCCGTTATTGTTGATGTCGCTATGGCGGTTTTTTTTCCAATCACGCTGTTCCACTTTTCAGGCGTCTACTCCAACACGCGCAGCAAGATCGCACATGAGTATGAGGAACTCTGTATTCGGCACTTCGGGCAGAGTAACCTCCACTTTCTCAAGAGAGGTTTCATATTCTTCTAAATTTACCACAGAGACCTGTAACAAAGTCAACGCTTTAGCCTGCTGTGGCTTCAGCCATAGGACTACAACCCTTCCGCTGACAAGCTTACAGTCAGTGATTGTGTCTGCGAGGTTAAGTTCTACCAGAACGCCAACACCGGCCTGAGTGCACGTTGTGATATCGACACCTGAGAAAAATAGCTTCCACTCGCATACGTTCAGGGTTACAAAGCCTTGGCGCTTCGTCGACTAGAGTCCAACAGTATCGAGTTGGTACTTTTGTTTGGCCTCATCAACTAACTCTTGCTCTTTCCCTCTGAGTAATAATATATTCCAGTTTCCAACTCTCGCTGGGCTGTAAGCTGCCACTGGCAGTGTCGTTTTCTTTGAGCCGTTTCTGACGTGCTCCCGCTCTCTGCCTCCTTGGTTCAGAACGGGTAGCGAATTTCTTGATTATTCGTCGTTATTTTTTGTCGAACTATGGCAGCCGTTGTCGTGCTGCTGCCCCCCCCCGGTTTTCATAGTGCGAGTTCTAGTCGGCGACTTCGCAGGCTGTTTCGTTCAATAGTCGGCGTTCACGGCCTTTGATATCCCGGTTGACAGTGGAACAAGTACGATAACGGCGGTGTTATGAGAGGTACGTTCCACGCTTTTTAGAATGTCACAGTCTTCATACTTGCTTCGTTCTAATTCGGGCAACGGCGTTGTTGTCATCAATCATCATAATTATGTCTTAGTCGGTTGACTGTCAGATTGGTTGCTGCAAGATCATGCGTCAGAATGTCCGGCTATGTCTCTCTTCTTCTTTTCTCCATTGCAGGAATTTGACCGAGAGAGGTAAATGTGTTTAAGACACCGGAAGTCTGCAAACTGCCTTTATCGCATGACTTTTGGCATTGTTTGCAGAAGAGTAAGACATGCGTCAGTGATGGGTCAACTGCTTCATAAACGTCAGAAATTAGTTTCGTAAATGCTGCCTATCTTGTAATCGTAAGGAAGACTTTATTACAAATTTTTCTCGTTCTCGTTGTTTAAGTAATGTGAAGAAACAGGAATGTGTAATCTTGATCATCTTCTTTGCGAGCTGAAGTGTCGACGCTATATTACTTGGTACGAGGAGGAAGAATAAGAATTTAATACCCATTGTTGGTTTTTCTAATATGCACTATTTTCAGATATGTGCAAAGCCGAATTATTAAGTTTGCGAACATGTTCTGTTTTAATTTTCTATTAAACCTTCATTCATTTATAGGGTTGAAGCGGTATGTGGTGCTCTTGATGTTCTGTGGATATGCTCTGTTATTCCAAGCGTGCAGATGGAATTCACGCAAGCCGTAAGATTGACAAGTTACATGAAGGAAGCTGGCATAAGGTGACGATTCAGCGTAGCAGGTTCGTTTTTTGATCCTCAAGAAAAATTAATATTTAGTATTTTGCTGAGTCAGTGTGATTCGGAAAATGGTAACGAACCAGAAATTCAAAAGTCTGCTTTGCGCATCATCAACAACTGCGTCTGCGGTACACCACTTAGAGTAAGATGAGTGGTCGATCATTTTCAGATTTAAATAATTTCCTCCATATTTGATCTCCTTAGTTCGGCACTGCAACGGTCGCCGTTGGATCAGGCAGAAATAAGGTCGTCTTAGAATTGACGTCTGAAGAACTGTTGAAAAAAATGTGGGACTCCGTTTGTCTGAACAATGGCATTATGGTTGATATTCTTGGTTATTAACTTTTTCCATGAATACTTTGGCTTAGGTTTTGAGAAACTTGATTTTTTCGAAGACGCCGATCACCGAAGCAGATTCAATCCGGGCTTTGGCCTGCAAGGTATGACTGCTAACTTACTTCCTGTCTGCCTTTTGGTTTATGGCGAAATAATTTATTATGACAAACTAATTTTTTATGCCAGTCTTGCTTTGGTTATGATCTCTGTGTACGATGGAATGTTTTGCATTGGGGTTAGTCGTTTAGCAAATGATACTAGAACCGTCCCTTTACTTGAAGCTGCACTCTGGTTCAGCCATTAGCTTATTAGTCAATAAACCTGTCTATAACTTAAGATTTTGTACTTTCAAAAAGTTCACGCCATTCTTGCTACTAAGGGCAGTGGCTGTTTTCTATCGCGTATGAGATGATAAAATCTGTAGAAAATATCAGTCCGTTCACAATACGTCTGTAACGCAACCTCTGGAAATGAAGCTGTTACTCTGTGGAAGCGAATTATTGACTCGAGGCAATCATTCCTACGATTTATTCTGCGCGTTTCGCTCAAAGCGACATTGCGTGTTTGCATTATCTTGCATCATCTGATTTATTCTCTTTAAACGTCATCATTCATATTTCGACTACCACTTTAAGTCAGTTACCAGAATTTCTAAGAGCCTGCAAAGGCATTGAATGCAAGCCTTCGCAGTAAGCTCGGATGTTAACTAAAGCAATTCTATCCTCATAGAGCCGTTAAAGGATGAAGTGTTTTACTTCTATCTCTCTGTATTTACTCTGAATCAGCAACTGGAAGATAGGATGTGGTTCAGTTTGCTGCTGCATGTTGCTTATGGTCTGACAAACTTGTCTTTTTGTTGTAAACTTGATATGTGTCTTATTCCGTGACACTGATGAGCGTGAATGAAATTTCTTCCTTGCAGCAGCTATTCAGATTACATTATTTCACATCATTTTTTATAACAGTTATGTATTTAGGTTCACTTTATACATGAATTGTTTAGGCGTTAAATGGTTTAGCTCGTTCAGAGATCGTGCGGCAAATTGTCAGCAAGACACCTCTCATTTACAACAACCAACTGCATCGTAAGACGAGAAGTCGTCATCGTTGAAGCTATCCGCCCATGATACTGTTTTTAGTCCTCATGCGCGAGCCGGTTCTATTAGATAATCGGGCGGAACACGTGAAATTCAGCGAGTATGGCCGACAGTTGATTGAGCGAGTCACCGGAAGGCCGATATCGGATTTTAAGGACCTCACTCAGGACCGATTACACAAAGTAATACCTGTTTTTTCAAAAACTGTTTTAACCACCTATTTGTTTTTCTTTGTTAAGGCAAGCGTCGTTGCTCAAACTAAAATCACTTATGATGAAAAGGAACTGCTGCAGTTGATTTGGGATCACCTGTCGAAGAAGGGCTTCAAGAAGTCAGCGGCATTGCTTCGTGAGGAGGCGGCGTTGCCTACTATCACGCAGGACTCACCACCCACTCCGGTGTCTTCGAAGTTTCTTGTAAGGCAGCCACGTCCATATCCAGTTTTGTGTATATTTGGTTGATGATCTTTTTTCCCTTTACAGCTTTATCATCCGCCATCCGCGGGATATCGATGTGCAACCCAGCTCACCATGGATAACTGGTCGCATGGCACGCAGATGGTTGGTGGAATTACTAGCTATCTGATGAGCAGCAGTCATCAGGCCACGTTCTCTAAAGCGAACCCCGCTGCTCAGAATGCTTGTTCGTCCGGCCGTGGTAGTGGCGGCGATTCTGCGTTGCGTCTCTTGCGTCAGCCGTCATCGACCGTCGTTCCTGTCAGACTAAATTCGCTTTCTCGGAGTCCATATATGAGTCGTGATTGGTCTAAAGAGCGACACCTGCGTCCAACTCCCGTGATCAATCTCAAGAAAGCCATGGAGAAACGGAAACCAATCGGCCTGTCGCTTGACTCCATCATTACCGAGTACCTGCGAAAGCAGCACGCACTTTGTCTCAACCCAGTAACTACATGTCCATCCTTTTCTCTTCTGTTGTGAGTTATTGTTTACTTTCCTTGCTAATATATGTCATATGTTAAGCAGCACTTGGTTCAATATTGTGTCTGCTTTAGTCCTCATCAGTGCCCAGAGCCAAAGTTAAAGCGCCATGCTCCAAATAACTTCAGCTCCAGAGTTTATCACAAGCCGGTAAATTGTTTTCTGCTAATTTTTATTAAGTTATATAATTCTGAAGTGCTTACATTTTTAGTATTTTCCCATCGGCGGCGGCTATGATGGCGTTCGTGCCGACATGCGGTACATCTTTAGCCGGTTCAAACCTGTCAAAACGGTCAAAGATGAAGACAGCGATAGCGCGTTTACCTGTTGTTCCTTTTCGGTAACATCTCAAAGGAGTTCTTTGATTCAGTTATATTAATGCCATTTAGATTAACGAAAGGTTTTTGTTATTGGGCACTTATGCTGGTGATCTGAAGTCATACCGAATACATGACATGAGCGAAGTGGCAACTGTTTCCTGCCATGCCTCAGCGCTGACCAGTATTCAGCAGTCAAACGTATGTAAAGTAGTCACTAGTTGATGTATTGCAGAGTTTTTATACTTTAATAGTGAAGGCCATTCTCCCTACTCCACATCCATCCATAGCTTCCATGTATGGTACTCTTGACTGAGTCTACATTTTCCTGAAATTCTGCAGTTCGATATCTGTTGGAAGTAAAGGCGATGCTCTAAACAATGACGCACAAATATTTAAAATCAAGTAACTTTTGGGTGGCCTGATTGTTTAACAATTTTCTGATGCATCCTTGTTGTATCATCCCTCTTTTAGTTAACTTGTTTTTCATAGAGAATCTTTATTTCGACTCATGAACTCCTCTTTTTAAGACGAAACTGCTGTCACTGTATATTTTAAGCACAACATATGTTGCCAGATTTATTTTTACCGGTAGGAATTTTTGCTTCTTCTTTTTTAAAGGTTTATGAGTGAACGACTGATCAGGATTCAGACTTATCACCTTTCGACGGAGTCCTTAGCACTTTCATGCCATCATTTTACAAAAAAGCACGGATATTGAAGTAGTTTGGTTTTACTGCGATTCGATTCCGTTAAATTTACGACTGAATGACTACAGTTCAAAAAAAATTTAAAAATTTTTTATTCGGAAGCAGTGAAGTTTTTGCAGAATAATTAGACTGCTAAATGTAGGTTAGACATGGCTAAAATTTGACTAATAAATCTGGCTAAATAGTTTGACTAATAAATACAATTTATTATTTGAAGTCAACTTAAACCACTGAGTTATCCGCGAAAACCAAAATCCAATTGGGAATCTAATTCAGAGGCGAAGCAATCTATTGTAAGACGCATTGCAAGTTTATAATGCAAAATTTCAGACGTTTCGCTTATGCTTAATCCGTCTTCAAGGATAAAAACATTTCACTTCGTGAAGACGGATTAAGTATGGATCATGGATGATACCAAACGTCAAAGATTTTATATATAATAAATTTTTATGCGATTTCTCCTGCTCAAAAATTTCCGTTATCGAAACGGAAATATGCGTCGCACCATAGGATCCAAGAAAAATGGCCGCAAAAAGCGTTTTCTTGGAGGCATCAGGGTATCGGTCAGCGGAGCAGTTACAAACTTGATCATTTTGACCGTTCTAGTAGGTGCATTGCTGTGTAAGCGATTCATTTAAATTCTTATTTTGTCGATGTCTTTTAGCTCATTGCTAACTGCTTCCGAAATTCGTCCCTGGTCACTTGTCTTGCATCGTATCAGGTCTTTGGAATAACCTCTTGCTTGCATTTAGTTTCAGTGAGGATTTTTTGGCATTGGAATGTTTTCTTGCACTAGACCACTGTAGCTACATTTAAACGTGCTTTAGTATCATTCTTTTCTCATCGTGATAGAGTGA